TTTTTAAATGATGACTAAAATGTGCTCATTCAATATGAACTTCATCCTCAATACTACTACTTCTACACTTGTGGACTATTTTTATTGAATTTTAAATAGAGCTTTTTTAAAAATAATTTATTTTATTTTTTGTTGTTGAGACTATACACTGCAAAAACCTACAGCAATTCAGGTTTCTACATGTACAACTCAGTGACACTGAGTAAATTCTTCGAGTTGTGCAGCCATTCTCACCCTCCTTTTCTGAGTTGTTCCTCCCCCATTAACGTAAACTCGTTGCCCCTTAAGGTTCCTATTTAATCTTTCGAGTGGCTATTGTCAATTTGATCCCATAAAGATGTATCTTAAAAGAGAGTAATGCTCAAGGAAGACTTTCTTTATTAGTTAAGCTGTTTCTTGGTTTTTAGAAAACTGCAGGGGATATTTTTGGTTTAAGGTTTAAAGATTATTTTAGGGCAGTAGTTTCAGGGGTTCGTCCAGCCTCTATGGCTCCAGAAAGTCTGGAGTCCGTGAGAATTGGAAATTCTGTTCTGTGTTTTCCCCCTTTTGATCAGGATTCTTCTGTAGAATCTTTATCCAAAATGTTCAGTAATGGTAGCCAGGCACCATCCAGTTCTTCTGTTTCATGGCAAAGGAGGCAGTTGTTCATGGAGGCAATTATCCACACATTCTATTTCCTCCCCCTATTCCTGACTCTCGTTCTTCCTCTGTTGCTCCAGGTGAATAGAGAACAATTGTACATTGGATGGCCACTTGGCAAGCTTTTAAGACCCTGGCACTGCACAACAGGGAGTAGAGCAGAAGCACTAAACACATTATTAGGCCAGTTAACTGGGATGTCCCATGAAACCATGACCCTAAACCTCCAAACCGAGGAATTAAATCCCATGAGGTATTTGGTTGTACATAAGCAGACTCAGCAGCTACTCTTCTTTTTGTTGTTGTAAATATATGTATCACACAACTTCTGCCGCTCAACTTTTTACAGGTGTACAACATATTGATAGCAATTACATTAATTGGCTGTGCAACCCTACCCTTAATCAATGCAGTTTTTCCATCACTGTAAACCGAAACTCAGCACTCCATAAGCAGTAACCCCTCCTTCCTCCCTCCCTCCCACCCCTGGTAACCACTAATAAACTTTGGTCTCTGTACTTGTGCTTGTTTTTATCTTTTTGTATAAATGAGAGCATACAGTGTTTATCCTTTTATGATTGACTCATTTCACTGAGCGTCAGGTTTTTGATGTTCGTCCATGTTGTAGCATGGATCAGGACTTCATTTCTCTTTCTGACTGAGTAGTATTCCATTGTGTGTGTGTACCACATTTTGTTTATCCATTCATCTGCTGATGGGCTTTTAGGCTCTTTCCACCTTTTAGCTATTGTGAATAGTGCTGCAGTGAGCATACGTATGCAAGTCTTCAAGTTTCTGCTTTCAAGTCTTTTGGGTGTATACCCAGGAGTGGAATTGCTGGGTCATATAGTAGTTCTGTTTTAAGTTTTTTGAGGCACCACTACGGGTGTTTTCCACAACGGGTGTACCATTTTGCCTTCCCACCAGCAATGGATTAAAAAAAAACAAACAAACCCATTGCTGTCGAGTCGATTCCGACTCATAATGACCCTAGAGGACAGATTAGAACTGCCCCATAGCATTTCCAAGGAGTGGCTGGTGGATTCGAACTGCCATCCTTTTGGTTAGCAGCCGTAGCACTTAACCACTACAACATTTACTATTAAAAGAACTTTTTTTTTAAGCTTTAAGCTCGTTTCTTGATTATGCGTTTGATGTGTGACATTGTAAAGTTTGCACTCATGAGTTAAAAATTCTGCTAGCCATTGTTACTTTTATATCCCAAGCACATCTTGTATAGAATGTCCAAACTGAATTCCTCCACACCCACCCTAGTTATCTGTTCTTCTTTTTGTATGTTTTTTCTTGGTGAATAGTACCACATACACTGAGTTACCCTGGTGGCGTAGTGGTTAAGAGTTACAGCTTCTAACCAAAAGGTCAGTGGTTCGAATCCACCAGGCTCTCCTTGAAAACGCTATGGGACAGTTCTGTGCTGTCCTATAGGGTCATTATGAGTCAGAATCGACTCAACGGCAGTGGGTTTACACTCAGTTACCAAGCCAGTGACCCAGGAGTAATCCTTAATTCCTCTTCCTTAATTCTCCACAATCAAGCGTTTACAAGGACATCTTAATTTTGTTTCCAAGTTGTGTCTTTAACCTGTCTGTTTACACCACTACTACTACCTCATTCCTACCGCTTTAATTAAAGTCCTCAACATTTCTCACCAGGATTTTTAAATTAATGTCCATCCTCTTCCACCACATTCCATTTTCTGCATTATTACTGGAATGATCTTTCTAAAAGGCTGAGATGGTCATGTTGCTCCCTTGCTTAAAAATCCTTTACGTTTCCTACAATCTTTAGTCAAAATTCAAACCCCTTTTCTGGCCCAGACTGACTTCTTGCCCATACATTAGGGCCTTCCTGTCTTCCTAAATGCTATTCTGCCTGGAATGCATTCCCTACCCCCAACATTGTCTGCGCATTTAATACTTCTCAATCCTTTAAAGCTCAGTTTAGGTGTCATCTCTGGAAAATCTTCCCTAATCTTCATTACCACCTGCTCACCAACACATACACAAACGCACTTATTCTCTTGTTCTCTTTCTTCCTCTCTGCACATCTAGTTTGGTGTTTTGATGTTTATACTTTTACATTTGTTCATCTCCCCACTTATCTATGAATTCCTTTAGGACTGAGACGTTATATTTTATCTCCATATGGCTATCTAACATGGCCGACCAACTTACTACCCTTGAACCATCCTGAATTTATACATTTTAGTTGTGTTTTTAAAATCTTTGGTTAAAAAAAAAAAAAAAAATTCTTAAATCATTTCATAAATATTTGATTGCTCATACTGAAAAATAATAAATACAGGGGAAAAAAGTAAACAAAAAAAGTCCCAGTCCTTAATATTCTAAGTGGAGACTAACAATATTGCTAGTAGAAAATTGGTATGGTTCAAATTTAGGTTCTACCGCTTATATTTGTGACCTTGGAAAAGTTTCTTAACTTCTCTGTGCCCTACAACTCCCACCTATAAAATGGTTGTAATAGAAGTAGTCAGTTCTGCTCTAATGCTTATTTTGAAAACATGAATTTGTCCCAGCACAGTTGATATACTAGGGAGCCATTTGAGCATAATGTAAATTTTGTGTTCATTTATGGGTGATATTGTCAGTGAAAAACTGTACCCAGCTGAACTGAGCTGTGTAAGAATATGTAGAATGTGTGTGCATGCACACACACCTCAAACACGGGCGGATTAATCCTGATGTGATGAAACCCTATGTGTAATTGTTCACTACAGATTAGCAAGTAAGCATAAGTAAGTCTGGGCTTACCTTGCTTAGTGGGTCATCCACCCCTGTCAGGGATTACAGCATTGAAAACAGTCTTTGATTCTGTAGGAAGGTGTTGTGGGGTTGAGAGAGAGACAGATCCCAGCCATACCTAGAAGCAGAGTCTTTGATGTGGTGGAAAAATGTGAAACTGTTCACTACAGATTAGTAAGTAAGCACAAGTAAGCCTGTGCTTATCTTGCCTGTTGGATAATCTGCCTCTGCTCAAATGTCTACCGGCTACTTCAATTCACTGTGTGTATTATGAGCCACACATGTCCACATCTGGTGTTAAAACTTTTCTTCTGATTTCAGATAACCCTCCTTCCACCATTTTACAGTAACTCACAAGTTGCAGCCATTTCTGTGTCCATGTCCAGAAGCAAACTGAAAGTTTTTTTCAAGATAAAATGCCATCTTTATTGTAGTATTTATGAATTGTTTAACTATTTATTATGTGTAAAAGTGTGCTGCTGTTTTTATTAGGTTCTTATCCTTTTATGTATCATTGACACAGTTTTGGGTGTTATGTCCCTTTGTATGATTTTGCATAGTATGGTGACTTTTAAAGAACGTGTATATTGTGTTACAGCAGAACTGGTTTTCCCTACTGTGTAAGGTTGTTGTGGGGATTAAGTGATTTATTACATATAAAGCACTGAGAATGATGTTTTGTACACCATAAACAATAAATATCAGCCACCGTCTTCATTAGTATTATTGGAAGAAATGTTTTTGATCAAAACATGGTAGTGAGGCATACTGATGGAATTTAATTTCTGTGTGTGCCAGTTGTCTTTGGTTATAAGACACATTGTTAAAAGTTATTCAGGGACTGTGACTTACGGACTTTAGCTATTAGTTGATGTGTATATTAGTTGAATGAGTGGTATGTCATACTCTTAAGTGTGTTAAAAATGTCCTCTTGAAATAAAATTGAAGAGGGTTTTGGTTACCCTTTTCATCTATTGAGTACTCAGACATTGACCTAAATACTAAGTGATCTGATTCACATTTTGGATTATTTTATTGAAGGTTCAGAATGCTAAGCAAGTAAACAGTGCACTTAAACAGAAAATGGAAGGTGGAATTGAAGAATTCAAACCTCCTGAGGTATGTTATTGAAGAATACGTGTGATTAAGTGGTGGAACCCTGTTCTTTGAGTTACCTGGTGTTCAACTACTATTTTGGTCATGTGTGTTGTTAATACTTTGAAGGTTTCATAATATAAATCAGTTTGTCATTTAGATAGTTAGTCTTTTGAGGCTTGACTAATTATTTTTCCTGCCCTTAACAATTCACATCAGGCAAAGTAATTAGAGAAAACAGCTGTAGGAGTAGGCACGGTGCATGTGAAACTAGAAGGTCATTGGGTGAGTAGGCCAGTGCCGTTGTGTCTTGACAGCAGAGTGTGCTCAAGGCCTTTTCCTGCCTGTGGGAATTGGTAACATAGCAAGGAAAAGATCACTAGAACAGGAACTCATCTGGACAATTTTAATAAATTTTTATTTTAAGGTATTTGTCTTTTGGTTCAGATTTGCAATTAGAATTTTAGTATGTGGACTGACATCCATGTACTTCTATATCATTTATTTAATGAAAATATAAATCTAAAAACAAGATATAGATTGATCATTTTCTGAAGTATTACTTTTATTTCAGGTGAAACCTGTGTATGTTTTTTTGATATTTATGGTAATCATAGGATTACTTAAATGCTCTTAAGGTCAAGTCAAGTCTGTCTTTTTATAGAAGCTTCTTTAATAAAATCTTTTTCTTTTTTTTTATTCTTCATATCCTGGATTTGTCTTTCGATGTATGTAATAATCAAATAATCTCATTTAGTCCTAATGGGATGTTCCCACTAAGTCACAGGTTGACTGAAATGTCTACAAATGAAATATGTGTAAGAGGCTGGGGGGAGCAGAAGAAAAGTTCTTCAGAAATAATACATCATATGTGTTCTTAATCATTAGACTTTTGGTAAGGAAGAATCATTATAAAGAAAGTTGTTTTGTTTTGAATAATTTCTTTCAAGGGGTTAAATAATTAAAAAGAATGAAAAATACATAGATTAATACGTCATACTAAACCTACAAGTTAACTGATGTTCTGGTAACATTTAGTTAAGGACAGTATGATACAAAAAATACTACTTTATGTTATATTATTGCAACAAAAAATTATTTTTAATTTTTTATTTGAAAGATGCATATAAGCAAAAAACTTTAAATGCTTATAATTGCATAATTTAAAAATAAATATGGCAAATATTTAAAACATAGGAATACTATGAAGAGCTTTATGCCAAGAAGTTAAACAAATTGGAGAAACTCCTAGGAAAATATGTCTTACTAAAATTGTCTCAAAAAGAAAACCTGAATAATTTATAACCATTAAATAAATTGAAGGAATAATTAGCATCTTTCTCACAAGAAACACCAAGTCCAGACAGTTTTATTGGAAAAGTCTACCCAGTGTTCAAGGAAAGGATAATTCCAGTCTTAAACAAAATTTCCAGAAAATTACAGAACATCCTCACTCATTAACATTATATAAAGTACGACATGAAAGTACAATAGCACTTTATAATGTTTGTGTATGCTACCTCTTTTCAGCCTCACATAAATCCAGAGAAGTAGATAGAGCAGACACTATTATTTTACATAAGGAAACTGGGACTCAGAGAGGTTAACTGACTTATTCAAGGTCACATGACTAGTAAATGGTCAAACTCTGGCTAGATTTCAAATTTTTAGAGTCCTGGTTGTAAGAGTAGTATATATCACGCTGCCTCTTACTTTTGGACATTTTCATATAATAGCAGAATTGTACATTAGATTCTCACATTTTAATGTAATTATTGGGTTAGAAGTTATCAAATATTCATTATATGTTCTGGTTTATTGTAAAAATAATGGTCCAAATAAAACAACTACAATCTTAACAGTCTGCCATCCATACATTGAAGTTTGAATATTACTTCAAGGTTGACTTATTGAACTCAATGACTTGTAAAATGTATATATGTTTTATCATCTAGAAAATGCCCAGGGTATATTTATATTATTCCTATTGCTTTATGTGGGTAAGGGACAATATGAGTAGATACATCTTAAAATACTAGATTAACAACCACAGTATGGACTTTGAGAAATCAGATTTTTCATCCCCTTAGCTTTATGTTAGACCAGACTTAATCAGAGTATGTCATTAGCCTTTGGAATAATTAGGCCATTAAATGAAGTAACTCAACGGGAATAAACAATTACTTAGATGCTTTACTTATTCATTTTGGTTGTATTTGTTATTTTCATTTAGGGAAAGGTGTGGTGAAGAAAGCCCATTCACTTCCATAAGTATTTACTGATCACTTCTTTCATGGAAGGTGCTGTGTTTAAGCACTGTGAGAAGTGTGTGGGGCAGGGGTAAACACATAAAGATGAAGAATATGTGGATTTTTCTCACCTGCTTTTAAAAAAAAAAAAAACTCAATCTAGATGTTATAAGACAGACTAATAAAAGCTTTATGATAGATTTGTGAGTAAAGTGCTACAAGAAAACAGGTGGGCATTATTCATTCTAGCTGGGATAAAGAGGGAAGACTTCTTAGAGGGGAATGTTCCAGGTAGAGGGAATAACATAAACAGTGGTTTAATATTGAGCAGTACATTCAGAATGTAAGTACAGTGGGGAAAATTAAAAGCACTTTTGTAAACCAGCCAACAGGTGTTCCGTGAGTACTTGTTATGTGCTCATTATTGTGCTAATTAATATTGAGAATTCAGTGGAAGTGTGAAACCATCTTTTCTCAAGAAGCCTGTTGTCTTCTGAGGAAGGCAAGCTTAGATGTAGAGGAGGAACGAATGCAGTCTATGAGAGAGATGTTAAGGAGGTTGAGCCGAGGCTTCGGTATGATGGGATGAGTGGCAAGGTCCAGAGTATAAAAGTGCTTGTGAAAGCTAGAGAGAGATTTGCCTTTTAAATTAAGTCAAATGGAAAAACCAAATAATCTCTTCAGTATAGACAGTTTGTAATGAAAATTTTTAATTTTAGGAAAATAATCCTGCCTGTATTATGCAGAATAAATTAGAACAGAGAAGCTATAGCTGCTAAAATACTAAGTGTGTGATGATAAAAGTAAAATGATGGAGGAGTATCAGATAGGATTGGATGTTAGTTATAGGAATAGACAGCAAGTGATGAACCCAAAGAACATTTCAAAGTAGAAATTAATGTGATTCCTTGAAAGTATGTAAGAGTGTTGGGATGGGGGATGGGTAGTGTGTTTTGTTATGCTTTGGTTTGTTTTGGATGGAGGTGGGGGATGGAGGTGGGTAAATGGGGACAAAGAAATTAATAAATCACAGGAAGGAAGAATATTTATAGCTGAGAAAAGGAGTACTTTTGAAGCTAGAAATTTCCCCATCTTTGAATGTTTTCATGCAAAGGTAGATGGCATCCTTTTATTATGGATGTTGGATGGAGTTTTCAGTATTGGGTAGAAGGTTTAACTTGGTGACCTTTTCCAAGTCTTCCAACTCAGAAAGTATGAATGGGAAAGGTATGAAGACAGGCTCATTTAGCCAGGACAGTATGCTGTAAAGATTCTCAATTCACTAAGGATGTCATGGACTGTTCTAGAAGGCTCTTTGGGGCCTTTTATGTTACTGTATTTTAAAATAGCATTTCAAATTGGGGTTTGCTGTAGAAGAATATAAATATACTCAGTGGTACCACCTAGCAAACCACAAATACCATGCAATTTTAGATTCTAGGTGGACTTTAGTTTTCCTTTCTTTAAATTAAATCTCTATCAAAGTTTCTTGGGTTTAAAAGAGAATATAAAAATCAGTAACTTACAGGAATCCTGTATATTAAAAAATTTTTTTCCTGTTTTTCCTTCAGTCTTTCCCCTCTTTCACTGCGTCCATTTTGCCACACAGACTGTTCAGTCCTAGATGATCTTAACGCCCCCTTGCATGTTTTCTGCTGTAGCTTTGTGAAGTTTAATGTTGGCAATGATGACCAAATTCCACAGCTGTTAACTCCTTCTCATTGCCTTTTTCTGAGCCTTTGACATAGATGAGTACCTGTCTTTCTTCCTTTAACTTCTGAAAGGTTAAATTCTCTTTTATTACTATTATGTTTCCTTCTCAGTTGTAATTTTCCTTTCTATACTTAAATAGAAATACAGATTTTCTCTAAGCTTTTATCCTCAATTTATTTCTCTCTTTCTCTCCCCTGTCTTGGATATATCATACAGTCTCACAAGTCAGTATATAAGAGTCACATCGTATGTATATTTAAATGACACAAATTCAACCATAGGCACTCAGCCAAATAAAAAAGAGAAAGAATATGTTTAATAATAGCAAGTTTAGTAGTGCTGACAGTTCTGTCTGGATGCCATTTATTGAATATATGCCCAGAGTAAATAGTTATGAGCTGGAAACTGTGAATCTACTCTTCTTTACTCAGTCTTAGCTTCTACATGCCTCCTGTGTGAGCATCTTATTGAATTGAGTGAGATTCTAGTATTTGAATTTTTTTCCACACAACACTTCCCTAAATTCAAGGCAATAGCTCCATCTGGGGTTTAACTGAAAAACTAGTGGTCCATTCCAGTGCCGAAAGAATACGTAACTGTGTTAACTTATTGAAAGTCTCTGTGCCTGTCTCCATTGCTGCTTTTGTAAGGATACTTCAAGGATAATTTTGGGGGAAGAAACAACTTCTTTTAATTCATAGGCTTATTTTAGAACCCCACATCTGAGTAAGATATGACTCCATTGTACTCCCTTATAAAAATGTCCCAAACCCTTAAAAATGTGTTTGAATAAATTAATATAATATAGCCTCCAGTGGAAGTTCCACCTGAATGTCCTGCCTAATATCTCATTCTCAGTGTATCCCAGATTCAGTTCGTCTCAGCCTTGCCTTCTCACACCTCCCGAATCAGCATTTCTTGACATGTAGGTTCTTAATGGCATCACACTTGTCCCAGCTTTCCAGGCTTAAAATCTTACTCTGGTTATAATCATACTCTTGCCCATCCCATCCCTCCCTCCCAGAAAAATGATTGCAAATTAAATCTAGTGTGAACTTACCAACCTTCATTTTCACTGCCCTTCCAAAAGTGGACCTTACCATATTTTGTTGTTGTTAGGTGCCGTCAAGGAAGTTCCGACTCATAGCAACCCTACGTACATTAGAACAAAACACTGCCTGATCCTGCGCCATCCTCACAATCACTGCAGTGCTTGAGCCCATGGTTGCAGCCACTGTGTCAGTCCATCTGGTTGAGGGTCTTCCTCTTTTTCTGTGACCCTCTACTTTACCAAGCATGATGTGCTTCTCGAGGGACTGGTCCCTCCTGATACATGTCCAAAGTACCTGAGACAAAGTCTCGCCATCCTTGCTTCTAAGGAGCATTCTGGCTGTACTTTTTCCAAGACAGATTTGTTCGTTCTTCTGGCAGTCTTTGCCAACACCATAATTCAAAGGCGTCAGTTCTTACTCGTTGTCCAGCTTTCACATGCATATGAGGCAATTGAAAATGCTGTGGCTTGGGACAGCCACACCTTAGTCCTCAAAGTGACATCTTTGCTTTTTAACACTTTAAAGAGGTCTTTTGCAGCAAATTTGCCTAATGTGATGCATGATTTGATTTCTTGACCTTCCATGGGTGTTGATTGAGGATCCAAGTAAAATGAAATCCTTGATAACTTCAATCTTTTCTCCATTTATCGTGACGTTGCTTATTGGTCCAGTTGTGAGGGTTTTTGTTTTCTTTATGTTGAGGTGTAATCCATACTGAAGGCTGTGGTCTTTGATCTTCATCAGTAAGTGCTTCAAATCCTCTTTGCTTTCAGCAAGCAAGGTTGTGTCATCTGCGTATCGCAGGTTGTTAATGAGTCTTGATGACACATTCTTTTTCATATAGTTCAGCTTCTCGGATTTATTTTAATTGAATATTATCAACTTTCCAGGCTTATGTATCACTTCTTCCTGACACAGATCTTGATGTTCTCTTCACGTAGAATACCTTCTCCTCATCTTTGCCTGTCAGAATTTTCTCCTGTTCTAAAACCCATCTCAGTCTCCAGCCCCTCCAACTTTAGTTTTTCTTGCTCCTTTCCTACCATTCCGGTCATTGTGTCTTTTTCTCCTATCTTTGAATCCCCAATTATAATAATGGTATGGGGGCAGCATCTGACCTCCTCTAACTTCACAAGGTGGAAGGAGAATAAGATCAACAGCCCAAGGCTGATTCCTATGAGACAGAGGTCAGACATGCCTCCTCTCTCCGCCATCTTTACCAGTTCTGACACTAACCATCTCTACCCTGGCACTCTCTACTTCTCTGCTGATTTTGATAATTCATTGCAATGGGCACGCAAAACTCACTGACCATACTCACAGTTAGGGCTTTATTAGGGAAGTAACAGGTTACAATTCAGGTTCAGGAATGCTCAGGATTCAGTTCTTCCATCAGGACAGCCTCTTCTCAGCCCAGCCTCTTCTCAGCCGTGTCTGCAGGCATGCCTCTTTCCGGCCCGTGGCCTCTGCCCCTTTTCCGGCAAGTGTTGCAAAGCTCTTTTGGCCCCTCGGCCTCTGCCCTACTCAGGCAAATGTTACAAAGCTCTTTTAGTTATGCCGATAAGTACCCTGAGGCATCCGACTCTGCCAGTAAGCCTTAGCCAGAAGACGCTCAGCTCTGGCTCTGTGAGTCAGCAAACCTAGCTCCACCAAGTTCCCGGAGGTACCCTACTCCACCAGCTAGCCTCCTATCTGAAGGCTTTCTCCCTCCGTGGGCCAGGAAGCCCACCACAGCGTCTCTTGCTGGTTTCCTGCCAGTCTCCTGGTTCTGCTGCCTCTGCTGCTGCTGTTTCTCTGCCACTGTTTCTTTCTATCTTGCCATCTTCAGTGTGAACAGCTCGCTCTCTGTCTGCTGGGTCTACAAGGGTCTCAGTACAGGGATCCCTAGTCCAAAGGATGCACTCCACACCTGGCTGCTCTTCTTTGATAGTGGTGAGATCCTGTCTTTCCGCCTCTGAGGTGGCTCGTTTTAAGCCTACCAGAATGGCAGAACTGACCAATCCCATCGTCGGGGTTCCATAGACTTTATTTCCATGGTCCTACCCCACACGAGTGCGATGAACTTTATTTGCATTTCTGGCACGCTGTCCAGTTCCCTTTGTGGGCCACAGTTACCTTATTTGTATAGTCTCAGCCAATCACTTCAGTAGGAGTTACAAGACCATAGTGAGAAAGGCCATATAACAGCAATCCATTGTACTGCACCAATATATACCATACTGTTTGCTTTTATAGTTATTTGTGTTCGTCCCATCTCCTAATTAGATTGTAAGCTTTAGGAAGTTTAGATGACATAACTTTATTCTGTCTTCTTCATTGTAGGCATATGTATAAAACATATTTGTTGATTTGTAAAAAAAGAAAATTCGTTTTTTTGTTCCCTTTTCATTAATAGCTCTGCCTTTCAGATTTACACCAAAACCAACTCACTGCTATCGAGTCAATTCTGACTCATAGTGACTCTTTGGGACAGAGTAGAACTGCCCCATAGATTTTTCAAGGCTGTAATCTTTACAGATCAGACTGCCACATCTTTCTCCCATGGAGCAGCTGGTGGGTTCAAACCACCAACCTCAGTTAGCAGCTGAGCACTTTAACCACTGTGCCACCAAGGGTCCTTTTCAGATTTAACAAACCAATTAAGCAAATTCTCTTTGCTCAGGTGCTGTGCTAGGTGCTTTTTACATATATTCTAAAACATATCCTCATACTTAGTTATATTTGATCCTCAGAACAACTTGCAATGTAGGTCTTACAGGGGATCCTCAGTGTCCAAGTACTTATTAATCTAGAGGAAGCACTGAGAAGCAAAAGTTGCCAGACAAGAAAATATTCACTAATGCTGATCCGTTTTGAAAATTAGGGTCTACTCACGAACTCTCCCTAATGAACTCTAGTGTTTTCTGTCCCATCCACCTTATCAACATCTTTCACTGTCAACAGTGCAAATACAGCACAAATCAAAATAAAATTACAAATACCGCAAAAGATGCAAGACTTCAGGATGTCTGTGAAAGTGCCAGAGAACGGCTTAAATCCTGCAAAACTGTTGACAGATGAGTATCCAGCTGAATTAACCGTTGAAGAAAAAAAGATGATGACTCACAGACAAGCACTTGAATAATTTGAGTAACAACGGTTAACAGAGGCCATTGAGAAAATGAACTGATTTTCATAACTTATAGTTTCATATTTCATATTAAGTTGCAGTCAACCCTTTAATTTTTCATCATTCATTGTGAAATATTTGGCCCAATTTTAAATAAGCTCCAGAACCAGTTATCTCTGGGTATCAAGGACTTCTTTTATCAACCTTTCACAGCTGAGATAGAATAAGATTGTCTAGATATTAACTCGAGTATTACCTCCTACTCCATTCTTGTTACTCCCCTTTTTTGGAACATGTGTTTAAATTCTTAGTTTCCCCGTCACCTCCTTTTTCTTTTCATCTGTTTCCTTTCCCTGTTTTTGCTTTCTTTCACCCTTTTCTTAACTACTGCTTCTGTGTGTTTCCTCATCACTTTTCCTATTCTCTTTCTTTCTTCCTTTTTGGTATTGTTCCTTTGCCTCCGTCTAGTATCCTGACTTTAGGGCTTGTCTGCTATCCACCATCTGACCCATTTGCTGTACCATTTTAATCTCATCGTCTGAAATTCAGTGCTTTCTGTTTTAGGTTTTTCCCTTCTTTTCTCTTGTAATAAAAATATTTTTTTCTAATTTTCCATTTTGTTTCATCCATTCTTGTAATTGCTTCTTCATTCATGGTGAAAAAGTTGGTGTTACCCAGAGACTGTATGCACTATAGAAACTCTTATTGCTTAAGACCATGGGTGATGTAAGACCTAAATACCCTTCTTCATTCAGAGGAAGCCTTTCTTCTGTCTTGCCGAGCATGCTCGGGTATTACACCAGGCCACTTTTTTTTTTTTGCAGCTCCTACTGTAGGCCTCTGTAAGTTAGTATGCTTATTTCTGCCCTTCCATCTACTGTCAAAAGTCCTTGATTTACTAGTCAGGAGGTATACACAAATGAAATTCTTTTAAGTATTTGATATTATAATACTACCATAATAGACACATCCTAAACCTAGGATTTTTTTAAAAAACAAAAATATTGGGAAATCTTGGGAGGAAAATCCATTCTTATCAGTGAGTCACTTTCCACTTCAGAAATTGAAAGAAGTAGTTTAAGACGTAGGCCTGGTCTGCAGTTCTATGTTAATTCATACCGCTGCTGTTGTGGGGTAAGGGTAAGTTTAATGAAAATATCAAGGGAAGAAATTTTAGAGGTTAACAAATCCTCTCAAAAGTAAAGCCTCTTAAAATGGTTAAAACTAGGCCTAAATTAATATCTGCAGTGTGATAGGAACATTGTAGTCAAAAAAGAGAGTGGCTATTCTAATAGATATTCTCAGGTTTTCATGTCTCTAACTAGAGCATAAATGCAAATGTTGTTCATTCTCCCAAATTGGTGCATTTCTCTTTTCATTATCTTTCTGTGTGGGTAAAAGGTAATGCAGAATATATTGTTTAATCCTTCTAAAAAAATGAGTCTTCAAGAGTTTTAGTAGTCTCATGTCTGTGATTTGGTGAAAAGTGTAAAAACAAAATAAGCACTTTGGAAAAACGTCTGTCTTCATATCCTCATTAGGAAACTTCTCTTTAATTTTGTAGTCAAATCAGAAAATTAATGCCCGTTGGACCACAGAGGAGCAGCTTCTAGCAGTGCAAGGTATATTAGAGATAAGCAGTTATTATTGTTAATAATTATCTTTAATTTGTCATGAAAAGTGACTACCATAGTTCTTCCCTTCCTTTAGAAATGGATCGAGAAAGGGCTCTTGTGTTCACTAGAAAGCCCTGGTGACCAGGAATTCTGTGTCGTACTTGGGGATGTGACATACTGAACCTATGTGCATTTTGAGTCCTGAACAGCACATAACACATTCTCATCACTAAATAAAATGATGGTGATGACAAGCATGAGCAAGTTATCAAGGCTCTCTGAGCCTCTGCTCAGCATGGCTGCAGTGGGGTTCCTTCTTACTGCATCCCTCATTGACAGCTCTTAGCTAAAAGCCTAAATGAACTATGATATGTTTCTGGTTTCTTTAGATACTCTCTATATAGTGTTTCTCTATTTGATAAATGTCAGGTACTAAAAATATTAACTATGTGCTTAACAGTGTATCATACCTTACTTAAGAGATGTGCCACTGAATGCTTAGCAACCTGATTTAGAAACCACACATTTATATAATATTCATATGTATACATACATATGCACACGTATGTATATATACATACATACATATATATGTATAGAGAGAAGGAGAAAGGGAGAGAGATTTAAGAGACATCAAAAATACATGTATATAGTGTTTATGAGAATTCTTTGTTAAATTATATGGAAAAAGACTCTTTGTATTATGAATATACTTGGGCAAACTGGAAGCATAAACTTGGATTGCCTCATGTTTGAATACTTAAAGAAGGGCAAATTATATATTTTTATTCAGCATTGTGGGTTACTTGTTTCTTTTTCTTAGGATAAACTGTCTGCAGAACTTGACAGTGTGATTTAAAGTTTGGTCGACATTTTGTTTCTTCTGGCTGAGCCCACTTTGTACGGAGTGCTAATAGCTGTTTATCTAGGTTAACTACTGCGGAAGAATGGGCCCAAGTAGATACGTATATAATCACTCTAGCAGTGAAACGTAGCGTACCTTTTAAAATACTTCCTAATACACATCAGAGAACATATTTAATATAAAAGTGCTATTCAAGCATCTAACAGTTAACTAGAGAATGATTTAATTAAAGATTCACTGATAGATGATTCTGCAGTTTGGATTACAGAAAGGGAGAATTAGCCAGCCAGTATGATTTGAAAATGTCACAGGCGGGTGCCAGCGGGATGATTCCAGCCTTCCCTTTTGGCCTGTACAGCACAGCAATCTTTCTTACTGAGAAATGCTTGATACTGTGGAGGCTGGGTGTCGGGTGTGCATTGAGCAAGCTTCTGAATGAGTCAGAACAAGGTAGGTTAGGTTATAAGTAAGTTTCAGTGATAGCTTTTTAAAATTAGAAATAGACAATCTAAAATTTGTTTAAAAAAGAAGGGAGCATTTTCAATGGCTGCTTCATATTCGTTGAGAACTATGACGACTTACAGCTCTGACAGTTCTTTTGAGTAAATGTTGCTTTTATTCATATAAAGCCTATGTTTCCCTCCATCATGGCTTGTAGCCTGTAAGAACTGAACCCTGGTTGCCAGTATTCAGTTGCTTAAAGGTCAGTATATTAATCCTGTATTCTAATATAAGAAATTATTCCAGTGAAAGGATTTTCTGACAAGGAAAATCTGGGCTGACGTTCCTCTGTACAGCATCCCAGATTTGATACTGTTCTGCAGCACTGCTTTGAGTGGTAGTGTCTGTTGAATCTTCTGACTGAGTTGGATATTATGCAAAGCTTCATTCAAGGGAAGAGGCAATGGGAACAGTTATGTAGTTTGAGGTGTATATGTGGATATTATCTCAGCTTGTAAATATTAAAAATGAAAGAATGGCGTGTTAATAGATATAACCAAACATATCCTCTTTACTGAGATATATATTCAGTATTCTGTGCTTCTGCATATTTTAAAAGTAACCCTTAAATAACACTAATACAGCAGTTTTTACAGAAATACACATATTAGGATTTTTTTCTTAGTAATTGTTCATGTCTGTTTTTATGTATTTTAGCAGTTTGGAATTTTTGCTTTCACTTGGGTTGTTTTTGCTTGTATGTTTTTGTTATGTAAAATAAATCATATAATGCTACTTGTGTATATAATAATGATTTTAGAGAGTACAAAAAGTGCCAGTTTTGTCTCATTGCTCACACATTTATATAATGCTCAGAAGTGTATCTTACAAACAGTAGAATCAACAGCAGTATCAGCTGTACCCCAGTCTTAGTGTGTTAAGGCACATAATTACAGTGTTAATTTTAACATGTATAGTTTGCTATCCAAAAGTTCTTATCTCAGCGGGCAGTTGTTTTCATTTTCTTTTCTTTTTTTTCTTTGAGGTAAACCTTTATGCGGTATTCCTCTAATGGCCATTTAAGTTTCAGCATGTAATAATAAATTACTTGTTTTGATATTAACATGTTTTAATTTGTATAGCACTTTATATTCAAGACATTTTATGCATACACTCTGATTTGACACTCATTTTTAAATGCTTTATCTTGCTCATAGTAACTATTACAGTGACTTAGAGAAAGAGCTATTTAATGTCACTAGTGTGATTTATAACTACTATTAAATAAACTTTTTTTGTAGTGACTCTTATAAAGCCAAACAAATATATTAAGATTCCTTGGGGCTTAAATATATATTTTCCATCTCACTTTCCTGTCGCATCCGCTCATATTGTTGTTAACTAAACACTGTATATGTAAATAAGTTTTCCTTTCTTTCTCCCTTAGTTGAAAGGGGAAAATCATGCTCAGACCAAACAGGAATGTTTGTACTTTTGTAATCTATCACTTTATTATGTAAATTCTAGTTCTAGCTATGTTATAATTTCAACATTCTTCAAGAGTCCCCAAGTGGGATATTATAAACGCAGATAATTTAATCCCATCAAAACATTTGCCGAGAATGATATTTCTACAATTTCTGTCACCTGTTCCAACCTTCAGTACCTAAATTTTCTATTTAATAGCATCTGCATTAACACTGAGACCAGTTATGCTCTTCTCATATTTGCATTAATGGTGAGCTGTTACCCTTGTTTGTAGCTTGTGCCGTATAAATTAATATACACACACACATACATATATACACTTTTTTTCCTCACCTGTAGTGCTTTTTAGAAATACACTGTAAAATCAAACAATATTCCTATAAACAGCCTTTTATTTATCAAGAATTAAGAAAGGAATTTGATTCTAGGTGTATTTGCTTTTTTTCATGTGAAAGGGAAAAATTCTTGGGCTGTTTTCGAAAATAACTATATTTTAATGATAGTACAAACCATTTATTCTTTACAAGTGTGTGCTAGGCAGTAGCATGGTATAAAGTATTTGTCATTTTTATTTTAGGTCTTAAATGTGTTCATTTTCTAGTCATTAGTACTAAAAAAAAAAAGATATATTTCCCAACGACAACATTTGTGCTGTTTTAGGATAAACAAAAAAATGTCCAGTTTTGTTAACTTTATAATTTTATTTAATAAAACCTTGTTTAACTTGATGTTAACTTTAATTTTTAGTTCTCTTTTCATATTCCCTGCCTTCTCATATAAAACAGGAAATGACACAACTGTGTTCTGTTGGGTTTTGTTTATAGTTAGATGTTACTGTCTCTTCCTGTAGTTCATACATACATTCTTTTTTTAAGAGAGCTGAAGTTGCAAGTCTACAAATTATCTTCTTTCTAATTTTACCTCATACTTTTTTAAAAAAGCTAGAATGGTTCATAAAGTAGGAGAAAAACTAGATTGGGCAATTGATAAAAACAGGATTATAACCCTCTATATGAAGAGCCAAAAAGAAGTGGAGATTCATACCTTTCCATTTAATTGACACCACTCTGCTGTAGAGAGTTTTCAGTTATAAGAGATACCATAAGAGTGGAAGTCCAAAAGTGTAATTGTCAGCCCTTTGATACACTTACTTCAAATAATTCATGATTCAGTATTTCCAGCCTTTTTGTAATGGAATTTAAGTTATAACAAGGAAAGTAGACTGCATGACCCAGAAGAGAAAGAAGAGACATTGGAAGGAGGATGCATTTGACATTTAGCCTTTGCATGGGTGCACCAGTCGCTGTCCCACTGCTGTAGATATCTTTTCCACCTTCATTAATTCTGATTTCTTGAAAAAATTTACAGGAGGTAGAAAGAAGTACATGTTTCCAAATGGTTTGGGTTTAAAATTTATTTCTTACTGATAGAAAACAGCCACATCCCTGGAGTTTCTAGATGTCACAATGTTTCTATTATTTCAAAAATAGATTTTTGAGAAATTAATGTTTCCCAATTATCATACTAAATGCATGCTCATTTTAAGAAATTTTGCTATAAAAAGCAGAAAAAAATGCCCCCAAAATTACACTCTGCAGCAGCAGCTTGCCACTCTTAGTAATTTGACTTTTTTTTTGGTAATCTAAAATCAAATTTTAAAAATAACTTTTTAAACATACTGAAAGCAGCTATCCAATGATATCCCTTCTAATTAAAAAAAAAAAAAATTTCTGTGATTTCATGTCCAGAGTTAAGAAACACCATATTTGTAAATGTTCCTGAAGTTACCATCTTACTAGCCAAAGCTCAAAAAATAAGAATGGATGTTTTTGTGTTGGGTAGTATAGACTCCTCGTGGACAAATGTAGAATTTCATAAAATGTAATAACAGAATATCCTATTGAGTTACTTTTTTATGTTAATTACCAAACAAGTTTAAAAGTATATAAATTAAAGATTATAAGGTATTATCTACTACAGAGTAGAAAACCAAATTGTTTCATTGTAACTTCAAATGAAATTTACAAATTTGATTGAAAATAACTTTTTCGTCTTCCTAGGAGATTTATAACTTGCTTCTTGCAAGTTTCTCCAAATTTTTATTCTAATGAGCCTTAAAAAAACTGTCCTCTTGCCCCAAAATTGAGAAGTTTATTTAATTTAGTAACTATGGTTCAGTTGGGCCTGAGCCTTTTATATCTTTAGGAAGAGAGTTTAATCATCTTTAATTCCCTAGATGATAAAGCAAGCAGATTGCCTGGTTTGTTACAAACTCTGGGTAAAGGATAGACTGCCCTTCCTCCCAGGCACAGATTGGAACGGAGGTAGCTCTGATGCCTCTGATGCCGTATGTTGTTAAAGTCCTTTGTTCCCGGTCACTACCCGCTGCTAGATTGTCCTCCCAAATCACAGTTGGGCTTCGTCTGAAGAAGCTGTTCCATTTAAGTCTTTTCTTCAGTCAGTCTTTGACTAGAGTTTGCCTAGTTGCCAGCTACAGCACAGAGTCTAAGAATTCTGCCTTCTAATCAAAGCAATCTGTTGAGCAGCATTATTGGAAATGTGAAGGTGATAAAGAAGTTAGTCATATATACCACTTGTGGCTTTAAGAAGACTTGGGAAGAAAAATAGAATAAGGTTTTATGAGAAAACACAATCCTATTTCCTGAGTACTTCCTGTTTGTCTACTCAGCACTGTAGCAATGCTGGTGCTGATTTGTATTCCGGAGGACAGTATTTCCAACCGTTTTCACATCATAGCACACAGAGAAAATTAGGAAATTTGTCACAATACAATGGTGCAAACAGATAAGGTTGCTCGTGTCCAGAGGAGACCAAGGAGCCTTCCCTACTGTCCTGAGGGCACACTTGTTCTCAGCACACTGATGGAGAGGGATCCTCAGCCAGAATACAGAAGTCTGCAGTGGAATCTGAGGCTTAAGATTTTGCAAAGTAGGTGATACAAGACTGCTGGCATACATGAGTTAACAGCATACAGACATTTGACTCAGAATCTAGGTTACTTGAAAAAAGTCCTTGACATCCAAAGTCTCTGGAAAAACTAAAACTGCTACAGGAAGTAGTTCTGGGTTTGGGGTCTATAATTTTGGAAATGGTGACAAGGTAAATTCCATTAAGCAAGAGAAAATAAAGAAGTGAAAGATCAAAAGGAATAAAGTCAGAAGAAGAGCTGTATCACGGAATCAGGCTTGGGGACAATTTAGTGGTAGGTTTTGGATTATTTTGGCTAAACATATGTATTCTGAGGGTTGTAATATCTTCAGATTTAGCGTCAGAGTTAGTTCTAATGTAACTTCTTTCTAGGATACAGAAGATCTAATTCCTAGGTTTATTTAAGATTTTCATTTCTAAACTCATGTGTTCAGGGTTGGCCATTTCTAGATGTGAATTAAGTATCCCTTATGAAAATTAGTATACTGATAGAGTACGATGTCTGCTATCTAATTAGTTATTCTTCAATGCAATGATCAAATTTTACTTTTAGAAATAGCACAGAAACTCAGCCATTTTAAAAGAGTTGCTTTCTTCCAAAGTTTAAGTGGTAGAGAAGTATTTGACTATATATACAACAATGCCCCCTACTGTGAAATAACCCTAGATTTTTATTGCCAAATAAACCCTCAGTAGAACCTAGGCACTATTATAATTCGTACTTAACTATGAAATTCAAACAGAAAATCAACTCACAGATTTTAAGAGAATATAAATTCTAAACTAGGCCTTAGTATCATTATTACTTTATTGTCATATATATGTCTTTCCCTTTGAGAACAGAGAAAATGACCATAGTTTACAAACCTAAAACTCTGTGTTAAAAATGGAATATGCCTATAGGTAATAGTGTCAGACCTGCTACCCAAAATGCTTTTCTCCATAGAGTCGAGCCCAGCTAATTGAATGTAGCTAGAGATGCTTATTCTCAATTTCTCAGTATAATCTGAGGACAGAATTTAAAAATGGGAATTATGCCTCAATGTGATGGTGCTTTAAGGTAATGGGATATTTGTACCAGTTGGTATCAGTTAAGAGTATGTCTAGCATCTGTGCTTGGCTATTAACATACCCTTATATTATGCTCTCATCTGTTATACACTTATTTATTTACCTACACCCCTCTTTATATTGAAGTACAGACTTTAATACATAAACATCAGTATTTTTTGTCTCTTATCTCCTTCATTAATGAGTTACTGTTTCTGCTATTTTAAAAGTAGTTATCAAATTATAAAATCAAAATTCCCCACAACTTTTATGTTTTGAGCGAAGTGCATCTCATTCTAGAATGAGTGAGTAAACTTCTTTAGAATTCCCTTAAGAGTAAGTTAGTGTCTATCTGATTATATAAAGTCATTTTAAATTCTGTGGAATAATTGGTAATCTCAAGTTCATAAATCAAGTATGACTATTCATTATAATAAAACTTCCTTGATGAAAAGTTAGATTCTCAAATTGTACAGCCCTTCTAAGGTGTAAGATAGTGATGATGAGCAAAGCAAGTGCTCTGCTAGTGGTTACTACTATAATCTTATTATTCAGACTGAAGAGCATAATTTAGAATCCTTCACATACACAGGCTTTAGAACTATTAAAAGAGTTAAAATCCAACTATGAAAAATACCTTAACATTTTTTGTCCATCAGATTCTGATGATTGTCTTTCTTTTTTATGTTTAAATTATTATCTCTTTTTCTATTCCTTGGTACCCTGGTGGAATGGGCAGGTAATCATATTGAAGTGAGCATTAAAACCTAAATTAAAATGCTTTTCTTAATGGGGAACCCTAAGGCTACTCACTCAGTCCATTGAGGTGATAAAAGAGATGGTTCATTCCCATCCAGTTTTGTTTACAAACGGTGTTGCTCAAATTTAGGTGACTGGCTACTAGGGAAATAAATGAATGTGGAATTGAGGATGGAACAAAGAATTCAATGCTTTACAATAATGGACTATATTTGAGAGTTCAAGAGAGGATTGGAGGAAATAACTGAGTATGTAAAAAATGGTAAGTTTATAATTGTTCAGTTGAAGGCAAGTAGCTGGCTTGATGAAATGTCATAATTGATAGTTTTCATCCTGTGACCCTGATTATCTTAGCCTCTATCTCAGAATTGAGAAATGAGCAGAGTTTATCAGAAAGGATATTCATTGCTGATATCTTTTGTGTGTGCATGATGTATAGTACACACAGCTCTCCTTACTGATCCTTCACAGGTGTATTATTTACTTTGCCTTCCAGGTGTCCGCAAATATGGTAAAGATTTTCAAGCTATTGCAGATGTAATTGGCAACAAGACTGTTGGCCAAGTGAAGAACTTCTTTGTAAACTACAGGCGTCGGTTTAACTTAGAGGAGGTATTGCAGGAGTGGGAAGCAGAACAAGGAACCCAGGCCTCTAATGGTGATGCTTCTACTTTAGGGGAGGAGACAAAAAGTGCTTCTAATGTGCCATCAGGGAAGAGCACTGATGAAGAAGAGGAGGTGTGTTTGTGTATGGAATTTGAGCTAATATGAGTTGAGGAGTCACCATTTTCTGTGGTGTTCTGTAAGGTTAATTTGTCAGAGGACTAGCTAAGTGAACATGAAAGGTTGACAATACACTTACTCAGAGGTGCATTTCTCGTGACTCTTAAGTCATAATAACATGCTAAGTTCTGATCCTAGAAGAATGGAGAGTGTATTGTTCTTTCATAGTCTTATTTTTTATTTCCAGTGTTAAGCTGTTTACTAATAAGATGCCTGTTTGGTAGCTTCGTTGCTTTTTTGGGTTTTGGTTTTTTGTTTTGTTTAAAATAATAGAAGCTTGTGCTTCCAGTAAATACTGGTGTTACGTTTTTGTTCTGTTTTGATTTGTTTTGTTTTTCCTGTGACAGCCCAACCTATATTATATTAAGTTCATTAGGAACCATCATCTCATACGTGTATTTTGTTTTCTCACCTCTAGGCACATGCCCCACAGGCTCCTCGGACTCTGGGTCCATCTCCTCCTGCCCCATCATCCACTCCAACACCAACAGCCCCTATTGCCACTCTGAACCAGCCTCCACCACTTCTTCGTCCAGCGTTGCCTGCTGCCCCTGCTCTTCACCGGCAGCCTCCTCCACTCCAGCAGCAGGCTCGGTTCATCCAGCCCCGGCCAACTTTAAATCAGCCTCCACCACCTCTCATCCGCCCTGCTAATTCTATGCCACCCCGTCTAAACCCAAGGCCAGTGTTGTCCACAGTTGGTGGTCAACAGCCACCGTCACTTATCGGAATTCAGACAGATTCACAGTCCTCGCTGCACTAAAAATTAAATTGGACAGAGCTGCAGTAACTCTTCACTGTATCACTATACCAGTGCTCATCTGACTGATGTAAGAGAGAAAAGAATAATCCTTCACAGATACTGAGGCTGCGAACTCCTTCTGTGACAGTGGAGTAGCGTAAGTGGGTGTCTAAGAAATTTCTCAGTTCACTAGACGAAAATGTTATGCAGCAAAAAGCCTCCAGGTAGCCTCCTTTCTAGAGTATATGTTCAGCGATGTGATCTCATAAAAGGAAGAAGAAAAAAAAAAGATTAAGTATTCTGTATACCAAGGGTTTTTTGTTGTTATTTTTACTATATTTATTTTATTGAAGTTCTTTATATTCCAGCCTCTTCATAGTCAGGGCTCTTAGTACAGGAATATTGATTTAGGAATTATAGAAACTCCTTAATTTTCTTTAGTTAAGGATGTTTGACTTTTTTTCCTTTTTTCTTTAATTTAATTTTTAAAAAGTATTTTCCTATGTTAGGAGCACAAGAATAAGCCTGCATTTCACATTTTGACATGTTCATTTAATGCATATTTAAGAAATTATAGCTACATATCCATTTTTCAAAAGATGTTGCTTTTTTTCCAGAGGAATTTTAATTATTCCTTTAAAAGAAAGCAGTTTAATCAATTGCAAAGCAATTATATGAAACCACAAAGAATGTACTGAATCTGCTAGCCCTTTAACATACAATTAAGGGTCTTAGTGCAAAGTCCTTGTTTAAAGGTCGTTGGCCCATCATCTGTCAGTAATAAGAGGATTGGAATAATAATTTTACATACAGATAAGAACTTAATTTGTTCAAGTACAGTGTCTTTTGTTTAAGTTCCTTGAAAATGGAGTTAATTTTGATTTTTTTCTTTTTTTTAATGTTTCTAAATGCTGTGTACTTTTAACTAGTACAGGCGGTCCCCGGAATTACGAACCAGTTCTATTCCTAAGTCTATCTGTAAGTTGAATTTGTAAGGAAGTCAGAAGAGTTAGGTACGGTTCGTATCTAACGTCAGTTTGTCAAATGTTTGTCTTAGTATATAGTATAGTGTACCTTTCTATGCATAAAAAACATTAGAGAAACACTTCCAGATACACTAAAAAATCCTTAACATAATTATACAGTAATAATAATGTTTGATGCGAGTCACAAAGTAGCACCCGTTTGTTACTATGAACCATTGTATGTACCTTGAATGTTTAATCTGATAGACTTTTGTAGGTGTTGGTTCGTAACTAAGCGTTGTAGATATGTCAGACGTTTGTAACCCGGGGATTGCCTGTAGTTTCCTACACTTGGAAACTTTAGAAGAGAATTATATTTTGTCATTTTTGTGGAGATGGTGGTTATGGAAGCATTTATTTGCCAGTACCCTTTTGTGTTTAGATTTTTCTGAACTTAAAATTGCCCTCATCCTTATTAATATGGTCTGCACTTAATATAAAAGATGTTTTCTTGATAAATTTCCATTGTACTGTTTGGGTACATTTGTGTATTCTTTGCAGCCGACCTGTACTCGTGGGTTTGGTTTAGGGTTAAATCATCAACATTATTTCATAAAATAAAATTGAGAACTTGTTCTGTGTTACCTAAAACTGTATTAGTATATTGTCACAATTGTGCTGTTAAAATGCTGAGACCCCTTTTTATTAAAAAAAAAAGATATTTCAAGTCTTCTCAATTCAACACATAATCATTAAGCACCTATAAAGAATATTTTACAAGTGATAGTATTTCAGCAGTGTGTTACTGATATTTTTGGCAGAATAATATTGGAATCATGACTTGTGCGAAGGGGCAGGTCGCTTAGATTGCTGTACTGGTGGAACAGAAGGCTGAATGCACGGTCACGTTCTCATGCCATTTAGAACTACTTCACAACATGGTCAGCATTCAAGAACTTAGTTTTGAGCGGTCATATTTTTCCCAAAATATTGGAAAATAGTCCCTACCATTGCCTCTGAAGCATTAAAGAACTAAAACTAATTCATTGGTTAGTTATGCTTCAGAAATTTAGACCACTTCTTTCCACAAGGACCTCAAGTTCTGCCATAGTGTAAAAATCTTTTTCCAGGATGGGTCCTTTCTTTCTCATTGGATAATCTCAAATAGTTCCTGCTCCTGGATGGTAAACAAATACAATCAAACTGATTTAAAATTTCTTAGTATTCAAGAATTTTACTTTAAAAGCCATGGGAGACAGTTATATATCTTAAAAGAAAATATCTAAAGCATTTTTAAAAAATACTTAGATCAAGTCTTGTATATGTGCATACTATAACCTTTACAGCTTTTATTGTCTTGTCTCGTCAGTAGACTTTCAGTATACGATATGTAGCATATGTCAGTCAAGTTGGTCAGCCTCAACATCTGTCCAGCTGTTCAGTATATTGTGATTCATTTAAAATCTCTCCTATCCCAGACATGGGCCAAGGTGCTGTATCTGAGGGATGTGCTGTAATTGACGTACATTAGAGCACACAGTAGAAAAATCTTTATTAGTAATATGACACATGTATATAGTGAGATGTCTTTATTGTGTGCTTTGCATCTTTTGTAAATATTTTGCACGTCATTTTTCTTTTTTGTTTAAGAAGTGTTTGGCCTGGAAGAGTGATATGCTTGCTGCTTAATCAACGGATTAAAGATTTAAAGATGTCTATGTCTTCTATTTTTACATAATTTCATGTTGTATGAGGAATTATAGAACCTCTTTACTGTGAAATTCTAAATATGATTTTTATAAAAAAATCAAAACCTAGAAATCTCTTAATGACCATCTTCATTAATTTCAGGGTTATCATTTTCAAAAATCTATACCCAAGTGTTTTTTGTTTTCGTTTTTATTACATAAATAGAAATAAATCACACTGTTGACACATCTGATAAATTTAATGAAAAAAATACATAATTTCATTCCAGTGTAATAAGGATGGAGGTAAGTTATGATCAAAACTTATTTGTAATAAGTTTGCAATTAAGTGAGTAAAACAATGTAAAATAAAGATGAAAGAATGTAAAATTGTCATGATTTTGAAAGAAGTATTAATGCAAGTGCTTTGATTAAAGTACTGGTTTACTTAATATGTTGTTATTTTAATGTTCCTGCTATCAAAGGAATCTTTATTATCCATAAATATTAATAAATACTGAGCAGTTAACACTGGCGTATCAGACTCTCCTCAGAAATAATAATAAGCTGACTTAGAACTCTAAGCAGGATCTCTCTGTGCTTCCCAAAAACAGATTATGAATATATTCTGATTACAGGAAAAATAAGAAAAAAACTAAAATCTGTATTTCTTTTTTAACTTAAACATTCATTATAGATTTGCAGCATTTATAACGATAATAGAATAAGTGAATTCTGAAAGAGTCCAAGAATCAGGTTTGCCCAACCATGTTATATTCTGTTAGAAAATATAAGAAACTTTACCTCATTTTCTGACAGCTGATTTATGGGAATACGTAAACTGCTTTCTCTTGGGAAAAAATAACTCCCCCAACCTTCATCTTTATTATTACTTTAAATAACTACCTTAGTGAAGGAATATTCTGCATTGGGAAAAACTAACTCCCCCAACCTTCATCTTTATTATTACTTTAAATAACTGCCTTAGTGAAGGAATATTTTGCAGCAATATGTTTTAGTAACGGAGTTTTAGGTCTAAACATTAAAGGAATGCTAAGTGTGTGTGTTACGTCTAAATAAATTGTTTTTCAAAAGAATTGTCATTTCAGTGGCTGCTCAAGCAGTCACTCAGAAGTAGGGAGAAGAAAAGCCATAAGGACTCATCTATCCTTTTTGTTCTCATAAGTCCTGTACACTTAAGGGAAAAAAAACAAAGACTAGAAATTAGTGTTGGATTGGTGTGTTTGCAAATTGTCATTACTGGATTTAAAGTAGACTGTCGACTATTGTCTGTTGATAACGGAATAAGTCTTTACAATGTGGTAAATTCTTAAAGCGTAGAATCCTAAAGCTGGCGTTTAGGTGACCAGGGTCCCAATGGAAAATGTACTGTGGATATCAAGTGAAGATATCTGGGAGCAGTCTTCACAATGTTAAATGTGGTAAGAGTTGATGTCTCTAATTCTTTATATAATCCACCCCCTTCTGGATTATTTTTTTAAAGGTTAAATTTTTATTCCCTATGATTTTATTTAAACATAAGGTACGAGAGAGGCAGGGCGAAGATGGCGGAGTAGTCACACGCTTCCGGTGGACCCTCTTACAACAGAGACCCGAAAAAGAAAGTGATTCGATTATACATGGCAATTTGGGAGCCCTGAACATCCAAGGCAGAGTTGAGGAACCGGACTGAGTGGCAGGTGGATGGAGAGACGGTTCGGAAGCAGCGAGAAGTTGCCAGACCTGAGCCCGTGAGAGCCTGAGCACTTCAGGCCTGAGCAGCTTACGGGTGAGCCGTGAGGCAGGCAAGCAGCAGTACTCGGGAGGTGCATTTTCCACACCAGGAGAGACCCAGTGCCAGAGTCTACATGACCACCCAGGACCAGTGAGAAGCAGCCCTCATCAGTGAAAGATAAGTACTTGTGTACGGCTTAGCGCGCAGATCATAAACAGCCCCCTTAGGGAAAAATCTCTGTCCCATTTACCTCCTGGCTCCCTGCTCTTCACTGGGTCCCGGACCAGCGTCAGCAATTGCCGAGTCCCCTGGGCCAGAAGTAGGATCCGTCACACGCCCGGAGCCTTTCTCTCTGCCTTGGAGAGTGAACAGATTAACAAACGGGAAAAAATAAACTGCCGGCTCTGCTAAGCCAGGACCCCAGGATAGGCACAGCTCCTTTGCCTAGGCACAGGCATAAGGGATCCACAGACTCTGAGTGCTTTTCCCCCTGCATAGACTTGTGTGGGCCCATCTCAACAGCGTAGGCCCTCATTACCCCAGTACAACAGGGTATATATCAGAAGTCTAACTTCAACTGTTTTCAGCTGTGAAGTGGCAGGTTCTTGACATTTGACACTGCTCTGCCCATTAAGCAGGGTCTTCACCTACCCACATCAGGGGCCTGAGGACTGGTGGCTCCACCCATGCCACCTAGCCACCTGTGATAGGGGCCCATGAGTAAGAGGTGCCCCCCAGTCCTTACAGCCAACAGCATTAGGTGCTCATAGTCCGGCTGCAGAACCCACCCACCTACATGCTCTGGGGAACAGGGACATGCCTTCCTCCTGGACACTAGGGGGTGGCCGTCAGCCCCCTGCCTTGCTCAGAGTGTGTCCCCCTGCTGCAGGCAGATGTCTGTGCCTACACTTTTCACCCATGCCTATCTAGGACTGTGAGAGCCTACACCACACACTTGGTGGCTGTCTGCCTGGGCACCTGAGTTGAATCCATACAGGAGGAGTGGGTGGACTCCTGAGCTCACATACCTAATAACAGATCTAACCACCTGGTGATAGGACATTAGAGCTTCAAAAGTGCCAGTAATAAAACTAGCTCATACGAGCAGCCTATTTGGGCATATCAAAACAATAAGCTAGGATACAGTAAGCAAACATAAATAAATATAATAACTTATGGATGGCTCGGAGACAGCAGTCAATAACAAATCACATAAAGAGGCAATCCATGATGGCTTCAGCAAGCTCCCAGAATAATCTAGAAATTTTCCAGAGGACGAAAATTTCTTGGAATTACTAGAGGCAGAATACAAAAGATGAATATACAGAACTCTTCAAGAAATTAGGAAGGAAATTAAACTAAGCACAGAACACACAATAGAGGAAATTAAAAAGATTAGAGAAGAGCATAATGACAAATTTAACAGGCTGCAAGAATCCATAGACAGCGATCAGAAATCCAGAAGATTAACAATAAAATTTCAGAATTAGACAACAGAAAGTCATAGGAGCAGAATTGAGGCAATGGAAATCAGAATTAGAGTGAAGATGAAGCACTTGACACCAACTTATTTAAGGCAAAAATCAGATAAAGGGATTTAAAAAAATGAAGAAACCCTAAGAAATATGTGGGATTCTATCAAGAGGAATAACCTACGAGTGACTGGAGTACCAGAACAGGGGGGTATCAGAGAATATAGAGAGAATTGTTGAAGATTTGTTGGCAGAAAACTTCCCTGATATCATGAGAGATGACAAGATACCTATCCAAGATGCCCATCGAACCCCACATAAGGTAGATCCCAAAAGAAAATCACCAAGACGTGTTATAATCAAACTTGCCAAAACCAAAGCTAAAATTTTAAGAGCGGCTAGGGATAAACGAAAAGTCAACTACAAAGGAGAGTCAATAAGAATAAGCTCGGAATTCTCAGCAGAAACCTTGCAGGCAAGAAGGCAATGGGATGACATATATAAAGCCTTGAAGGAAAAAAACTGCCAGCCAAAAATTGTATATCCTTTCTCTCAAATATGATGGCAAAACTGTCTCTCAAATATGATGGCAAAATTAGGGCATTTCCAGATAAACAGAAGTTTAGGGAATTTGCAAAAACCAAACCAGAAGTACAAGAAATACTAAAGGGAGTCCTCCAGTTAGAAAATCAATAACATCAGATAACAACCCAAGACTAGAACACAGGACAGAGCAACCAGATGTCAACCCAGATAGGGAAGTCACAAAAGTAAATCAAAGCTAAAACACTGAAAATAGGGAAAGAGATGTCAATATGTAAAAGATGACAACATTCAAACAAAGAGGGACTTAAAAAACGTAGACATAGATTTTTCATATGGAGAGGAGGTCAGGGTGATATAAAGAATAAAAGACTGGTATAAGCTTAGAAAAATAGGGATAAATATTAAGGTAACCACAAAGGAAACTAACAATACTACACGTCAAAATAAAAAAAAAAACAAAAATATAAAGCAAACACAAAACAACAATGAAAATACGTAAAGATGACTCAGCACAGAAAATTAAGTGGAATAAAGAAACTGAACGACACACAAAAAAAGATATCAAAATGACAGCACTAAGCTCATACCTATCAATAATTACGCTGAATGTAAATGGACTAAATGCACCAATAAAGAGACAGAGAGTGGCAGATTGGATAAAAAACACAATCCGTGTATATGCTGCCTACAAGAGAACACACCTTAGACTTAAAGATACAAACTAAAACTCAAAGGAATGGAAAAAAATTCATCAAGCAAACAATGCTCAAAAAGAGCAGGAGTGGCAATATTAATTTCTGACAAAATAGACGTTGAAGTAAAATCAACCACAAAGGATAAGGAAGGACACTATATAATGATTAAAGGGTCAATACACCAGGAGGACATAACTATAATATGTATTTACCCACCCAACGACAGGGCTCCAAAATACATAAACTCTAACAGCACTGAAAAGAGATAGACAGCTCTACAATAATAGTAGGAGACTTGAACACACCACTTTTGGTGAAGGACAGAACATCCAGAAAGCAGCTCAACAAAGACGTGGAAGACCTAAATGCTACAGTCAACCAACTTGATCTCATAGACATATACCAAACACTCCACCCAACAGCAGCCAGGTATACTTTCTATTCCAATGCACATGGAACATTCTCCAGAATAGACCACATATTAGGCCATAAAGCAAGCCTTAACAAAATCCAAAGCAGCGAAATATTACAAAGAATCTTTTCTGACCATAATACCATAAAAGTAGAAATCAACAACAGAAAAAGCAAGGGAAAAAAATCAAACACATGGAAACTGAACAAC